TGTAAGGGCTAAGTGTAACTTATTTAATAGGTAGTCAATCCACACCAATTATCAAAGATACTGATAATCGTATAATCACTCACCAAATACTAGATAGACTACATTAAAGTACATAGAATGAAATAATGACCTGCAATTCTTTAAATTGTGCCAACACGCACATTTTAAGACAAAACATCTTATACGTTTTTACATTTTAATCTAAGGATTTCTGCATTTACCCTCTAGCATTAGAAGTATTGTCAGATATAGTCAGTTTTCCGAGCCAGTTTTTAGTAACTTCCTGAAGTTACAGGCAGTTGCCTGACCAAGAAACACTACTAGAAACACAACATGAGATCAAGCACTTAAACCAACAAGATAAACATTATAATAAGGTAACTTTAGAGCTTCTGGAGGGCCACATTTAGTTGATTTGGGCAGAGCCAGATAGCTGTTTTCCCCTGTGTCCTTATTGTGGAGGAAACTTCTGTGTAGTAATGCATGGAGTCACCGACTCAGGAAGGAGACACGGTGAGAGTTGGAGCTTTGATGTCAAACACTGATGGGTTTATTCAGAGTATTCGGCCGGAGGATTCACATCACAAGTCAAAGAGTCAGAGGTTCTGACCACACGGTAGAGTTGCCACGTCAATTCTGAAGAACCTCTCTCTATGCTAGACCTTTTAACAGGTTCACAGAGAGAAATCAACATCTCTGAAGGAGTAGACTAAACACTGAATCACCTGCGTCCGACGCTCATGGCCTCAAGGATTTCACATCCTAGAGCCCACGAACACCGATAAAGAAGTGCCTCAGTGTTCCCACAACAATTACCCTGCGTGCCAGTCAAGTTGACCGGTCTCACACTGGTGACAACAACACATATGGCACCAAGGCCTTTCCTTAAAGGAGATAACACATGTCAGAGTAAAAGGTTAGATATCTAGAAGAATTATTCCTTAACACTTATGACAATCTAAACTGTCTGCTGGTGGTAGTTTAATACAGTATTTACCTCTTTGGTAAATCAGTCTTCAAATCTAATTAGCGTGATTCCTAAAAGTTCCAACTCAAGCTTTAGTAACTATTTATAGTTGCATAAGTAAGGAACAAATCTCAATGCCTTCCTGGTAAAACTGACCATTAACACTGCATTTTTGTATATGAGATATTTGATTAAACTCAGGTAATTCACCATCTGTTAAGCAGAGCAACATCATTCCATATTGTCTTCATTTCCTTCCATTTTACCAGCAACACTGAGACAATGTTCAACAAACCATGAAATTGTGCTGACAAGACCCGAGAGGGTGGAAAAGAACAAGGGGGAACAGGAATGTAAATGTAAGTCTTAATTTGTAGGGCCTTTTTCCAATAAATGAGACGTTCAGTACCTGACATTATAACACAATGACTGCAGGCATGAGATGTCAAACTCTCTGAACTATTTCTTATAGTTACTTACCATCTTGAATATCTTCCTTGTCAGATAATGTCACACCAGGTGGATTATCGGGGTTGTTTTTGTTTTAAGAACTGTGTGAGATGACATTGCTGTCCCAGAATACATCTGAGGGATTTTGAAGCAAACTGTTTGATTTCCTCCAAAGGTGGCAGGAGGTGGGTTTAGGATGAGGATGAGGAGACTTTAGCTGTCACTTTATTGTTTTTGTCACAGGGGAAGACAAAGAAAAGCTGGCTTGTATCTTTATACTCTGCTATTTGTGCTCTGCTACTTTCCTTTCATAATGTCAGATAGGTAAAATATATCTTCTTCTTATTGTGGTCGTTTTTGTTGTAATTCTTTTTCTTCTTCTCCTTCTCCTCCAAAAGGAAAGTTATCTCCTGTGTTTGCCCGAGCGCACAGTAACATGTTGAGTCTTTGGTCCCTTTGAATTAATGTAACAATGCAAATAAATTGAATTGGTGTAACAGTTGAAGTTTATACTGTAAGTTAAAATATAAGCATTAAAAGTTGCTGGGGGTTTATGTGTCCGTTGAATGATGTGTTAGTTGATGTGTTTGCACTTAGGTCTCATATTTGAGAAGAAAAGCATCTGAAAAGTAAACAGTAAAACTCAGGGTTCTTACGGTCATTGAAAACCTGGAAAAGTCATGGAAATTCAAAATGCTAATTCCAGGCCCTGGAAAAGTTATGGAAAACAATATTTTTCCCAAAGTTTGGGAAAAGTCATGGAAATGTAACTAAAGTTGCATCAAATATAATTTATATTTTATCTAATCGCCGAAATAGTAATACTATAATGATAATAAATACTGTATCGTATAGTAATGAAACGTAAAATGGCATTTAACTGTCGAGGTATTTTGCTAGTGAGAGATTTTAGTAGAAGCCTACTATTTTATTTGTTTTAGATAGGCACAACATGTTTCATATGCAGACCATATTTTCCTGTTCCATGTTCAAATAAACCATTTTCAGTGGTACCGCTGAGAAAGAGTAATTTTTTTGGTCATGGAAAATTAGGTAAAGGTCATGGAGAAGTCATGGAAAAGTCATTGAAAATCATTGGTGAAAAAGTGTATGAACCCTGAAAACTAAAGGCACTGGAAATGTCTACATTCAGAGGAAACTCTGAGAGTAGTTGAACTGTAATTTGGATGAGAAAGATAGTAAACTACTGTATTGGTTAAAGAGTTCTCGATAAATTCAGTGGGGATACACATTGATGTGGAAGTGGCAGCAATAGTTGACATTTAAAAAAAGGGATGGTTTGTATGTTTTGAAGTTTGAGGAACTTATCCACAGTCAGTGTATAACATTTAGTAGATGGAGTTCGGTGCACCCCACTTTGGAGAAACAATGGAGTTGGAAGCATAGTAATGTAGTGCTGTGGATGAAGCAGCAACACGTATTTTAGCCTCCTAACAGAAAGGCCAACCTCAATAAAATGTATATCAGTTCAGCTGTAAACTATGTTTATAATAATTTCACCACTTAACCTTGCTGTGAGATTTTGAAGCCGCTCTCTATGCTCTTGACAAAGCAACCAGACTCCATTCAAATTGTAATTATCAATTTACACCGCTGCCTCAATCAGTTAGCTTGTTTATGTCCATTATTACATGTTGTTAGTGTCAGAAATAGTTTATTAAGTCATTTCAGTTTAATTTGTATACAGTACCTCTATTGTCAGCAAAAGCAGCGTATAATTAATGCAAGTGTTAGTACCATTCTCAGTGTGCTATGTAATTGCTCCCAACAGAAGTGTAAAGTGAGGATGGAATACATTAGGTGCATTGTACGATAAAATCCCACAAGCTGCGTTGCTGTTTATTTTAGCTGGATTGAAAACAATATACAAATTGTTGGGAAAATACTGAATGTACTCTTCCAATATCAGAGTAGCACATGATAACAAAGGCCCTACGTAGCTGTGTACAGTACGTAACAGGATGTATGATTACCTAGAAGAGCGTCAGGACTGTTTTAGGCATATGATAGCTATGTGATTAACATGATGATTCAGCCTCTATGGAGATAGACATATGACTGTCATGTTTATTGCTTACCCTGGCTTTAGCTAATCTGAACTAAGGCCAGAATACTGCTTTGAACCGGTATTATGAATGTATATATAACCATGTCAAGGACACTGTTCAGGAACTAGTTGTCCCACGCAGCTCTGTGTGTGATGACTACTTCCATTCTTGCAAGGATAATAAATACATGTATCCTGATATTGAAGACCAAGCCGGTGACGAGGGATATCTTTCTAACACAAATGTTCTGAAAAGAAGAACTATTTAAACAGGATCTCCATGTCATACTGCTCTTCCCTGTGAAGCTGCTGCCCCGGTCGGAGGACGACTGCAGCGGAGAGATAGTGACGGTTTCGCCACACATCAGCGAAAGGTCTTGCAAAGTCAGACCAAAGCCTGTCACGATGTTTCTGCCGCCCTGCTTGGCTTGTCTGGGACTGAGAGCGGCAAAAGAAACCGCGAGGGGAGCGGATTATGTGAAGTGTTTGTCCTTCACTCTCCCTCTCAGGTGCTTTCAAGAGGACAGTGATCCTACAGCATGTAGGTCTTCAGACGAGCTCATGTGTTGTGCCCTCTACTCATGCCCTTCCTCTCATTGTAACACCGGAGGATAGTCGGCACATTAGTGCTGCAGGCCTCAGCTGGAAAAACATTTAGTATTTAAACTTACACACGTTTGCAATGGTCCTTTGTTAAGGGTGAAGGTAAGATTAATGTGACTAGATCCATGACATTTAAGTACCATTTTTTAAAATTACTATTAAATGTCAATCCTGTCAATAATGCGTGCTTATTCTATTGAAAGCAAATGAAAAATCACTTCAAGCTATCGCACCAAAATGAGGGATTCAGATGACAGGTATTTGAATCATTTGGGGGCAAAGGTATTACATCTTGCTTTGTTGGCCTGACACCTGGAGAGAGGTGCTGCAATGGCTGAAGCCCATTAGTCATTTCCACAACCTTCAGACGTCCCCCTTCAATTAAATCTGTAATGATCTTCCTGGAAGCAAATACTGAAACAAACGTAAGCAGCAAATGATTTCCTTTCTGTTAGTCACTGCAGAATGTTTCCTTGAAAGATACTCTATAAAAAAATCAAATAGAAAGAAGGACTTGTTTCTTTTTAAGGAGGACGTCTCATTCTTATTTTCAGGTTCATATTTGTATTCTGTGCTGTTCAAAAAGGTCTTTATTTTTCTCATACTGCCTGTGCTGCAGCACCTCTTTTCACCCTCTGTCTGAAACCAGAGCTCAGTCGGCTCTGATTGGTTAGCTGGCCGGCTCTGTTGTGATTGGTTGGAAATGTCCCGCCTATCATGGATAATATGATGAAGCGTAAGAAACTCCCTCTGGTGTGAACTTTAAGATGTTAGCCTTTGCAGACCATTTACATGCAGCTATATAACACACTGTAGGAAAGGTAAACTCCCAAAAAGCACAATAGGGCCCCTTTAAACTTTGTATATGAATAATTAATTAAGGCTAATTGAAAAAAAACACACAACAAACAGTGATTGTTTTAAAAGGTCTTTTTATCAGTATTTGAAAATATTCAACAATGAAAGTTAAATCAAACAGTAAGAATAAGTAATAACAATAATTAATATCAGCAATAACTAGACTTAAAGTAAGTTTCCTTTTTTTTTTTACTGAAACACCTGAGGGAAGCAAATCAAAAGAGAACCCAGAAAAATAACCACTGAAGTTAAGAGAAACAAACAAAAAACCACATAATGAAATCAAGAAAAGCTCATACTGGGGTCACTCACTTCATCTGTATGTACAGCACATTCGCTCCACACTGTGGGGGGGGGGGCAGCAGTGATGAAAGAACAGTGATGGAAACCAGCTGTATGGATTCACATGTAAAGGCAGGGTGAAGCAGAACAAACAGAAACAGGAAAACCCATTTGGATCCGGACAGGGAAAGTGTTTTTCTTCCATGATTTTGTGTATTACAGCTACAGAACTGACAGTACTCCATTTGTTACTTTGCTTTGAAAGGCTGAGAGGACTGAGAAAGCATTGTCCTGTTCACAAAATAACCCAAGCACACAGTGGAAACTCAACCCAACATCATTAAAAAAAACAATGGTCACTGGATGCATAAGACACGGCCCCTTTCCTGACACCCCCGAACTGTTAAGAAATTCATTCAAGCTTGTTTCAGTAAGAAACATGACATCAACATTAGTTTGGAAGTGGATCCGAGAATCACATTTCATGTTTGTCTGTACATTAATCAATATTCATTACAATTCAATCCTCGTTAATTTAACTTCCTGTCGACTCTCACGAAAAACACATTACTGGAAAAAGAGGGAAATAGAAATGCAAAGAAACCTTTGGTCAAAGAGTGTACTCGCAAAGGAAAAAATGCAACGACGAGAACAAAAACAGGAAATCATTCATCACTAAAAATTAAGAAAACACCAAACTAAAAGAGGTTTTCTATACGTTTCTCTCTCTTTCTGACAATATGGCCCGTAGTTCAACCCTCCTCCCATTACATTTGGGTCTGCAAGTTATACTGGTTTCCTCACAGAGGAAAGAAGGAAAGAAAAAGGTGCTCTTTTCATGAAAGTCATGTTTGTCTTGATTGTCCACAAAAAAGAAGGGGCCAGCAGGAAGTAACCCCGGCGAAAGGATATACAATCACAGCGTAAAAACGACGACATCCTTCACTGGAAAGGAATTGAGAGTCCCGCTCCTGAAAAGACTCTGAACCGGCATTGAAATCTGTGTTTGCCATATCTGTGTGACTGTGTGTGTGTGCACATGAGCTGTGCAAATGTCTCTGTGGTGGTTGGAGTTCAGTCCTATTCGGAGACCGTCTTGTCCTGTGGGGCCGGGTCCTCCAGGCAGCTCCTGCGGATGATGGGCAGCGGGTGGGCTTCTGTGTTGAAGACCCAGTCCTCCAGAGAGAGGAGGTCGTCATCAGAGAACAGCAGGTACAGATACCTGAGCACAGGAATAACATCATTTACATATAAACAACATGGTTCACTGAGAACTACATCTCATATGGCGTGTGTGTTACATGTTGTGATCATGGATGATGCCCCTCGTTTCTGTTATGTGATGTGCTATATGTGACACGTGTGTTGTTTACATTTTATTGTTCTCTTTTATCCTTTCGCCTGTATCTACTTGTCTTTCATCCTTTTTCTATAACTAACGCTGTTGATTTGAAGTGTGTCTATTACTTATATATACAGTCTATGGTCTATTATCATCTGGCCGGGGACAACAGCTGGAAATTAGCAATGTTTGCTAAAGCTGCCCCATAATCCCCCATTTACAGTTATTTTGTGACAGTTGATCCATGGGGACTGTCCACGACACTATAAACAGATAAACTAAACTAATTGTATTGCCGTGTCATAAATACTTGTATATTCTGCTCTTGCTCTTTTGCACTTTTCATGTATTTCATGAATTTGGATTTTCTATGTTTGTAAATGTCATTTTCTTAAATGTTTTATGTGAGGGATGGAAAGTAGCTCAAAGCTAAATCCGGCACATTTATTGTTTTAAGTGTTCATTAATGTGCAATGTCCCTACCAAATAAACTATTAAATAAATAAATAAACTAAACATAACATCTAGGCTCCTTGAGTACAATTCTTCAGATTTCCAAATGAGTGCCAATTCTTCCTTTTAGAGTAATGCATCCTTCAGTAAATCAGTCATATGGTATCCGTAGCTTAACCCTATCAGAATCAGAAATCCTTTCGTTGTCCCACAGAGAGGAAATGTACAGTGTTAAAGGGGACAATTCAGACGAGACAACATAACAAATAGGAAACAAATGACGCTGCTGGGTAGCTTGTGAAGTTACTTCTGGGGATAAAACTGTCTTATTTTATTTTAATACATCATCATTTATTTGCTTTATTTTGTATTATTTATTTCATTCCACAAAGTAATCAAATACACATAGAGACACAAAATAAAGACCCCTGTCCCCAGCTGGTGATAGCTTCGCCAGCTCAATCTAGTATTGCTTAATTATTCACGAGCAAAGATTTTTTTGTCAAGATTAGTCGCTCTAAAGTGGGAGCATTAGGGACGGTGAGGCACAGTCTGGTGTTTAAAGTTTTCTGGAGACTGCTGACCAGAATATGCACCCAAAAAAAGCTGTTTATCGTCTACTGGCTGACGTAGCACCCTGAATATTTGTGTGTTGCTAAGTGACCCAACAGTCGGCCCTGATTTATTTTCATTCACAAGGGAAATGGAGAAGATCTCATTCAAAGTGTGATTGGAATCAGTGCACTGATGTCTGACTCGCAGAATAGATGACGCTCCAGCTTTGGATCCTATTATTACTTTCTATATCTTTGATGGTTATACATGCAGATTGTAAAGTGCCATCTGCCACAGGGTGATGTGCTGAGGAAACAGGACTTACTTGAGTGTTTCTGAGAGGAAGAAGCTCTGCTGCATGTTGTCGTGGCTCGCTGTCAGGGTGTAAACGTCACGGATCCCCGAGAAGCCGGACTCCACCCTGCAGTGCTGCTCCAGCGCCTGAGAGGTGAGAGGTCAGGGTTTATGAGGACACATTACGCTCACATTCAGGTTCATATTTCTATATATGGTGCCTCTACTGTGACATGATATGAAAACCCCAAAAAGCATAATAAGGCTTCTTTAAATGTGAAAATGCACATTCAATTGATTTTATTGTAATCGCAAAATGGTGCAATATTCAAATCGCAGGCACAATATGTGTTAAAATGCAGATGTGCAGAGACATTCAAGGTTGCACATTTTATTCTACAGACTTAATACAACATATTTGTTTGACGCAAATTCTCTTTAAAACCAAAATCATTAACATATTTTATATTATGCATCAAAATAATCGCTAAATTAGGTATTTCTTCCAAATTTTGCATCTCCAAAGTTATGGCTGAATTGAATCAACACTACCGCATTCATTTATTCACCCACTTAATCAGTTTTCACATTTATCTCCACTGTACTGTGATAGGAAAACATATTCAGTCAAATATATTCCTCTGATATATTTTGACAAATAAAAACTCAAATCCTCTAGTCGTAAGATAACGTGTGTCTATGTGCACCTTAAGGAAAAGTAAATGATGGTGAAACATGTCAAAGCCTGAGCGATGCTTAATCTGACAAGAGCTAATGGAGAGTGGCTGAGCTAGCCAAGCGGATTAGCCCATTACTACCTGCTACAAAGGTCTGGCTTATATGTGCTAATTAACAAAGACCCCGACGTGTTAATGCTTGATGTTCACGAACAGGCGCATTGTGCACCGCTCGCAACCTTTGTGCCCGTTAATGAAAGGACTGTCAGTGTCTTCAGCGTGATCCCTCCACTTCTCTGCACACTAAATTAATGTGGAATCTTTCATGGCAGCCCTCTGCAGTTTTAATAGCTAATGTCCTGTCGATTGCCACATTAATAATAGTGCTCAACCTTCACCTACTGCTACTGCCGCCGCCTGATCCTCACGCTAATGTATAGTGCCACGCAATATCAGGGGGGCTGGCGGAGGGTAATTGAGGGTGTTAAAGGGGCTTGACATGGAAGGTGGGTACATTTATAAAATCTGACTCCAAGCTACTACTTGGTTTAGGTTGTAACATTATAATTTACTGCATCTCCCACTTAATCATGACACACAATTATTATTTGAACCTTACTAGACTGAATATAAGATGATATTTATTTACGGATATTACATTTAAACAAGGACTAGAAATCCACACAGCAGGTTTTATCATGCAATGGAGGAAGTAACTGCCTCTACATTACATTACTTTGAATTAAGAGAGTGTTGGATTAAAGTTTGATAGGCTGGCACGCTTCTTAAAGTTTGTTTATTGTGTATATTTCAGTTTATTTGGGCCAGTTTCTGTTCACATTGACCTATGGAAATGTATGTAACTGTCATGTAGAGTGCATCATGGATTGGACGGTTGCAGCAAGTTGTTGCCACTCTTAATATTGTCTTCTGTAGTCTCACAAAATGCAAACCTATCTAGACTAAAACTGCCCCTGAATAGTATAAATATTGATCAAAAGACAGATACAGGACCCCAAAAAAAAGTAATTGTGTATAATAAAATGGGAGGATAATAACAATGCAATCACTACATTACGGCTAACATTTACAGTTACAAAAGCTCAACACATCTTTGATTTAAAATGTTCCGAAAGGGTTTTTTGTGGTGACTTAGCTTTTGAATTCATGCTTAAATCATACATCTACTGTCACACCGTCATTTGGTTGGTTATGATGGGGCCAGTACAGTACAAGACAGGATAAACAAGACTAAGAATTAGGGTAATCAAGGAAACTAAATGTGGTGTTTACATCATGCTCCACAAAAAGGTTTACCGAGGTTCTGACGATCATATCCTCTGACTAATCTCAGCTTTGCCAACAGGGCTAGTTTCAATAAATACTTCTCATCTCCCAAAACCAGCGTTATTTAAAGTACCCTGTGTTGGGGTGTCTCACCTGAACAGCCTCCCAGCCCCACTCTCTGTACTTGGGGTCGTGGGTCAGCCTCCACATGTACATGTAGCTCTCGATGACCTCTGGGCGGAGGATGTAGTATCTGTCGTTCAGTCTGGTGGCCGTGGCTTCTCCTCCGCTGTCAAATCTGAACGCCTCCGGGCCCAGTTTGGTGGCTGATGGAGACAAAAAAGAAAAAAAACATTGATATGTCTGCAGTCGGCACCTCTACCGGATCTGCAAAAAAATCGAAGCACACTGGAGTATTTCTGTCTTTTCTGCCTTTCAATGACCATCACCACAGTCCACAGAGACCTTTTTACAATTGTTAGTTTCCATGTTTCAGGTTAGACAATTCAGATGTGTCCAGATGGTCTGTTGGCTTCTTTCTCTCTCTTCCTCCTTCTTTCATTATATCTCTAACACAATTCAAGACTGCATGGCAAACGGACTCTATTCATGATCCAACACAAAGGAATCAATCCCTGCCAAGGTCGGGACAGGAGCATCGGCATGGCAACATCTCAGAAAAACACTTGAAGAGAAAGATGTTATATGACAGGCAAGATGAGTCTGATATGTAATTTATTACTTTGAATATATGTTATAAATATTTAGCGTTATATGTAAATTTGATCATGTTTTAGAAAGAAAGTGTTTTACGCTTTCCAGATCTGATCCTGTTTTCATTTGCATAAATACATTTCCTGTGTCAAGCACATCCTATGTATTATTGAAATCTTTCAAATGTGTCTAAAAATGCAGAATATCTCATTTATATTTTTCATATTTCTGCACAATGCTCTCTTTCAAATGCACTTGAAATTCAGATATACATTTTTTTACAGTAATTTGTCATATTCTTATTGATTTTCCTTGCCTTTATAGTATTTCTACATTTACTCTTGTTAAACAACTTCAATGATCTTGCTGTGTTAACTGTGTTTGTTTATATTAAAGAAATTCCTTGGACGTGTAAAACGTCTCGGCAGTAAATATGTGAGTAACTATATTTAGTTTAGGAGGGTACATAGTGCTAGTAGAGGTCAAAAACTCAACTTGGTACCTTTGAACTTTTGTTTTGAAAACCCAACATCAAACTCACACTTCCCCCGCGTCCCTCCACAGCTCCTCTGTTCTCACATCCTTCTGATTCTTCACCTCTGGCTGTTTCCTGCCTCCTCCTGACGGCCTGTTTTCCACCTGTTTTGCACTAAATAATTCTCTGTGCTGTTGATGCTTGTGATTGGAATGCTAACGCTAATTCAGCAGAGGATCTTCTGTAACTCCGGCGCAGACAACACAATCGATTTTTCCACAAGTTCTAAAGATGTCAAACTCAATTTAGAAGTCTTGTCTCAGGATTCGTTACTCCTGCTTTGGGACCTGAATAGAAAACACGTTGCCAAACTATCTTCTTATCCACCGGTTTCCTTTTGCCTCAACACACTGCAGTAAATCCCTCCAGACAACAAAATCAAGTCTTATTGTTTCCTGTGAATTCCCTGCTGAGCATTAATGAGTTCAGATCAGAAAGGTATTTCATTCCTATATTTGAACAGTGGTAGAAATAAGAAGTGACAGCCCGAAGTGAGAAAGGTTTAACTCTAACAGCTCACACATCTCAATAGCAGAAAGCTAACCACTTTTTTCCCTCTTAAACCAATAACCTTTTCATCTTCCTTCTGCTTCCCATGAGATCTCCATTTTCCAGCATCAGTGTGTTGCTGTGAAGCTGGCGGGGTTTCAGAGCAGCAGCAGCAGGAGAGTCTGTATGGTATCTGTGTTTAAGACACAGCCAAAGAGCAGCCACTTTACACACGTGCAGACGGATAATCCGAGAGCTGCTAAGCACCAATCGGTCCTTTTTAAATGAGCGCAGAGAAACCTGGTGGAGGAGAGAGCCCGAGAAGTCTCGTGGGCCTGCAGATCAAAAGCATTTCAAGCGTATCAAGGAACCTGTTATGTGGTGAGTCACATGATCTCACCGACAAAGCCTTATTATAGCCCACCCAACGGAAAAGGGGGTAAAAAAGAAGCTTGAAATTAGCAGAGGAGATTATTGTCAGAGCTGAGATAGATGAGGGAGGAGACGAGATCAAATAATGGTCGTTTCAACGGAAAGAAAACGAGGCCATGCTTGTTGCTGGAAACTCTTCCTCGATTGCATTTTCCTTTTGGGTAAATCGTCTTTTCTCCCTCATTTACAAAGTACAACAATATCTGTTTTATTTTTTTTTATTACTGCCGATTTGTATTCCGTATTTTATTCCATTCCATTTCTATGTACGAGGGACTACGGATGGAAATGAGCTCAAAGCTAAATCTGGCACTGTTACGCTCGACACATTTTAATGTTTTAAGTGTTCATTACTGTGCATTGTCCCTGCCAAATAACGATTAAATAAAAATGTAAATTCTGTTATATTTTACTATATTTTTTGTTATTTTAAATATTTTTCTAGTTCTCCATCTGTGTTTTTAATTTTTGTTTTACTTGTATGTAAGCAGCAC